GTGGTCCCCCAAAGTCCTGCTGCCTTTTCAGGTACGTGAGGCCGCCAGACGCTCCTTCTTGAAGAGCTTCCTCAGCACTTTATAGGGTGGTTCTTCCATCCTCGTCCCAAAACGCTGCTGTTCAGCAGCCTGAGCCGCCTGCTGCTTTCCTCCCTCCTGAGACTGCTCGAGCTCATCACGCAGATGGTTCTGCCACTTGCCCCCACGGGTAGGTGCACTCCCTTTGTTACTGCTACCCAGCGCCGAGAGCTACGTGCCAACAGCAGCCTGATCAGGGACGGTGCCTTCTCTGCTTTGTGGTGATGGGCTGTGGGAGGCCGTCTCCATCCTGCAAGGGATGGAGCTGGTCCTGTCAGTGGGACTCTCCCGGCATTGCTCTGCTGGAGCTCTGATGCCTGCAAACAGCAACGGCTCTCAAGTAGAGAGTGGAAGCTGCGAGCAGCACGTGGAACGTCCCAATAGTAGAAAAGTTATATCAGTGGCAAGTTAAAATTGCAAAAAAGGGGGGTTCTTGAGAAAAGCAGGAGTTATTCTTGCTCTAGTACTTTCTCAGTTGAAGCGAGAGGTGGTCGGTTGTAGAAAACTGACCCATTCTGTGGTGTTTTGAGCTGCTAATAATGGACCTAATGCTGCTCCCATTGAATAAACACCCAACTCTCCATTGCCTTCAGGATGAATAACTTGAGCTAATTAACAGCTCCAGAAGCTCAAGCCATTAAATGGGGTTCTCCGCTGCTCTGAGCAGAGAGGAAAGCATCCAGGAGCTTCTTATTCCTCAGTCTGCAGCTATTTACTGTGTGACTTGACTGTCCTGTGTTTCAAGCGTATCCGTCTGCACCTCGTGGACATGCTTTCTTCTGCCCATCACAGAGGTGGTAGGAGGCTTAATTCCTCCTTATTTGTCGAGTGGGCTCTGATTGCCAGCTGAAAGGCAGAGATTGATAGAGAAGTCCCGTGCGGTGACAGCAGCTTTGGTCTCTTGGAAAGACAGGCTTTGCTAACAGCGCGTGGGGTAAAAGGGTGAAAGACTTCAGCCAAATCCATTGGTGTTGAGACTCTGTGTTTAAGCTGACAGGGGACGAGCGTAGGGGGAAAGAAAACGGGGCAATTTGTTAGGGTTCAGTGAAGTGCTAACTAGGAGCGGCTCTTGGGAGAGAACTAAAGCACCTGGAAGTACATACCGCTGAAACTCCTGCCTTGTGCACAGAATTAGAAGTTCTTTATTGACTGCTCTTGGTTTGGGTTTTGCTTTTTTGTTAAGATTTTAGACCTCAGCTGCAGTTGCAAATGAAACAAAGCCTGAGATGAATGGATATAAGTAAAAACACAGTGATCCAGAGGGTCTGCAAAACGGTGGGGACACTCTGAAAATGAAATGATTCCTGCCCCCGCTTTCTACCCTCGCCGCTTGCAGAGGTGTTTTTCCAAAGGGGATCCTCCCGAGCCCACAGGCGGAGCGGGAGGGAGGCGGGGGGGTACCTCCAGGATCTTCGCTTTATAAAGAGGGCAGAGAGAGTGGATTAAATCAATATTTCATTTATTTGGGCTTGTAATTCCTCTTACATCAGCTGCCACATAAAGATTTTCCCCTATTTTCTTCCCCTCCTCCTCGTCCTCATTTACTATGCACCAATAATTTCCCTTTGACGCTTTCCTGCCAGTCCTAGTGCCAGATGGCCCCGGTTCTGAGCTTCTCCCCTCTCTTGGGAGCGGCCCCCATTGTCAATGCAAAGGAGGCGTCGTGGCTTTGAACCCAAAGCTGGGACCCAAACTTCAGCCCCGGCGTGAGGAGGAGCTAACCCACTAATGCAGGAAACCATGCAAACAGCACACCCTCCCACTCATCGCCATTAAGGAAGAAAAAACCCAAACCCTTCACTAAAGGCTGTTTTGCATTTCCCCCAATGGTCCATGTATAGAAATCTGGTGCAAATTTAATTCTCTCACCACCTGATTCCACTTCCCAGCCGCGAGGTTCCCTTTGTGTCATAAACTCAATTAGACGTATGCATTTCACATCGTGGCCACAGATGTGAAAACAAAGTGCGCACGTACCTCGCTCTTTCTTTCTCTCTCTCTCTCTCTTTCTCTCTCTGTAGATGTGTCTACATCAGCTTTAAAGCGATAAAGAAAGTGAGTAAATCAGTTCAGGGTGCTAACCCCCTCTGCAGAACAAAGTGTCCGGCTGTGGCGAGCGGCGCCGCGTTTCTGATTGTGTTGGGGTAAGCTGTGACATCTTGGAAGTCAGTAAGGTTTCCCTGGGGCTGGGCTGGGTGTCAGGGAGCCGCTCCCCCCCTCCCCATATCGTTTCGGAGTGGCACGGGGAGGGTCTTTATGCGGGGTCTGGGTGCGTGCCCGGCACGCCGGTGCATTAGCTGTAGGTGCTGAGGAATTTTCCAGCCACACGAGTTGGCAGGGAATGAAAGGAGCGGGTATTAATTTCTTGGTGTACTGCTCGGAACAGGGGGGACGTAATTGCAAAGGCTGACATCGCACCGTGTTTCTGTGTGCCACACAGCATGCAGCCCTGCCTTTTAAAAAAAAATAGCCGAGTTTCTCTCCCCTGGCTTGACTTTTCTACGTTTTGTGCCCATTTGGGTTTGGAGAGGGACACAAGAGGTTTCGGCATTGAGCGGAGAGTTAAATTATGCAGCTGCAAGACTGCCAAGCCCTTCAGAATAGGATGCTTCGTTTAGATTTTCCACAATGCTATTGAAGTGCTTATTTTCCTCCTGAAGAGACATAAACAGATGCAAACTTCTGTAAACACTTTAGAAATGAATTCAGTGAGTTTGGCCTCTCAGCAGTGCTCAATAGCTGACAGAAAAATGTCTAATTAGTGCAAGTGGAAATAATAGGGCCACTTGGATTCCTTCCATCCTCCTCCAAGTCTACTTTTCCTAGGAACTCAAAGGCCCTTTTGTTTGGTAGGTCACCCTCTCTCAGGCTTTTGTGCTCCGATCTATTAAAGGAAGAAGGGGAGGAAAAAAAATAGATTAGGCGATGCTCTGTGCTTAAATATATGGCCTGTTGATGAGCATTTCAAATGGCTGGTTTGCAGTGTCATTTTACAGGTGCTTGGAGAGGGGGATTCCTCCATTGTTGGCCGGCACAAGCGGAGTTGTGCGTGCTGGGCTCCAGGAATCCTTTTCAAGTGCCATCCTTTTAGAAAATCCATCTCAGGCTTGGGGTGGGGGTGGGGGGAGAAGGAAATTTGTACAAATCCGCCTCGCTGAACTGTAACGAGCTAGCAAATACTTGCAACAGATTGGTGCTGCAAGCCGGCCTTCTTGCCGCCTACCATAGGCTCTTCTCCAACCTGTTTGACACGGGCTTTCTCCTGCACACCTCAGACGGTGGTTATGCAGCTCAAAATCAAGAAGGAGTCTTGCTGTCGGATTGTGGGACTCTGAGCAAAAAGCAAAGAGAATAGAAATGAGGGTGGGGAGGAGTCCAAGGAGCCTGAGCGGTGTCCAGAGCAGCTCGTGGACATTGCTGTCTCTCTGGCCCTGCCTGTGTGTTTACACAAGGAAGGCAATGCTTAGACTGATGCTAAGACAAAAAATGGGAGGTAGCTGCCAAACTTGGTGTTTTAGTGTGGATTTGGACAAAGTTTTCTTGGCAGTCTCTCATCCTCTGATGGTGCTATGGGGCCTGATCCTCCCTCCCCTATGTTGCTTTTACTCTGTCATGAGTAGAGTTACTCGCTGACATGAATGAAATGAGAAACACATCCTTTTTCTGAGGAGGCTTCCTATGGTTTAAGGTGTTTTCTGTTTTTTTTTTCTTTCCTCCCGTGATTGACCGCACCGCAAAGTAGTACTTTAGCAGTGCCAACTCCCAGGCTGGCCAGCAGGAAGCCGGGCTCTCCGTAGGCAGCATGAGGCTGCTGAACGGCTGGTGGCCATGAAGACCAGACAGGTCAGGGCTCCATAGCTGCAGAGATGGGTCCTTCCTTCCAGCCGATGGGTGTATTTCAGGCAGATGTTCCAGTGAAACGATGATGGGGTGCAATACTCCCCATCCTGCGTGACAAACCTGTAAAAAGGGAATCACCTGGACGTCAGCGTGTGGAGCACCCCCTTGCTCCACCAGGCAGGAGTGCCAACCCCTGCCCACCACGGGAAGGGGTCAGGTTTTGGTAGATGTCCGCATGGACTTCTGCAACCGCGATGAGGCTGTGTGCCTCCTCGTGGGTGTCTTTGCTGATCTTCTGTCCTCTTAACGGCGTGCTATCTCAGGAGCTCTGGCTGATTCCTTGTGTTGGTGTGATGGATTAACCGCTGTGGGAATCCAAAAGAGTTCATACAGACTTAGTAGTCATTAAAGATGACTTTCAGGGGAAAAATATTGGACTCCTGGACAGTTCGTGGTGTACAAAGGAGTGAGTGGCTTGAGCTCTATCTGGGACAATGGCTGTAGTGACCATTTCCAGTGTTTACAGACTCATGTCCCCCTTTTAAACTAATTGGTTTTACTTCTAGTAATCTGTTGGGTGTGATTTAAAGTCATTAATAGACCACCAAATTTTGCAGTTATAAATACTAAACCACAATTAGAAAGACCCCAAAACAATCAGGAACGATATCTGCAGGTCAAACAAAAAAACCCAACTGGAACCTTCCTATCATAAAAAATAAAATATGATTAGGAATAGCCATAATTATAGGCTATAATAAATGCAATTTGATTACTGCCACAAAGAATTCCTCCGTCATATAATTGCCTAGGAACATAAAGATTGCAAGGCGAGTAGAAATTTTGAGACAATCTTTTAATTGCTATTGAATATTTGCTTCTTGTAGCGTTCACTTGCTGTAAAACTGCATAGCCACCTTACAGCAAATAACGAAGGGTATCCCGTCTGTTCTAAAATGGTACGGAGGCAGCACCATTAGGCAGAGGGTTACTAAAGCTGTGTGTTTTCTGTTGACAGTTCGCTGAGCCTTTGTGAGGTGGGTTTCTCCAAGGCTGCCCCGTGGCTCTGGTGTTCCTTTCAGGTTTATTTGAAAGCCTCCATCATGGTCAAGGACTGCGTCACTGCCGCTGCTATTGTGTTCCTGATTGACCGGTTCCTGTATTGGATTGATGCCTCCAGCAAACTTCTTCGGATCGCCAAGGGGCTGCACAGGCTCCAGCCCACCACCCCCATCGGTCCTCAGGTGCTCATCCGGCAGGCTCGCCTCTCCGTCAATGCAGGTACCCGCTCCCTTTTCTCAGCTCGAGCCCAATTAGGAACTACTTGACTTTGAAGAAGATACTTTGTCCCTTGCTGGGGATGACATGCTGACGGCCCCGGTGCCATGTTTTCAAACGCACAGCCCACTCCCAGCCCCCTTGAGCCCTCCCAGCTCCTCTCACTAACACAAAGGGGCTGATATAAAGGGTTTCAGAGCCAAAGCAGGAGAGAAAATTGTGAAAGGGTGTGGAAAATACTAATTGGAGCTTTTGTTCCTTAACAAATCTTCCCTGCTGGTTTCAAACAGGGATATCTGAATTGCTATACTTCTCACCAAGGACCTTTAAGAAGTAAATTAGAGTCCCGGCATTTTCTTTGCACTGTCCCAGCTGCTTTTTTTTTTCTTTTTTTTTTTTTAGTGGGCCCACTTGACTATGCAAACAATGCAGCTTACAACCCCTCAAGGATAAATTGATTTAAAAAAAAAAATTAAAAAAAATTCCATCATTCCTATAACGTGGGCAACACCTGAAGGATTTTTAATGTATCTTCCCACTGTCCCACTGGGGAGAAGAAACAAAGCCAGACAAACTTGCTCTGAAAAACCCCATTGAGGAATATTTTATTTGCAGATAAGAGAACTGTAAGTTCCCCGCATAGACATTTTTATTTGTGGCTGTGGACTTCTCATGCCGTTGTGTCTGGGTGCTGGCACATTCCAGCCGATGGGCTAGTTCAGCCAACACTTCCACTGCTTCGCTGGCTGGAGCCGCCTTCTTGAATTCAGCCAGACAATTGAGACAAAAAGCAAGGTTCAACATGAATAAAGCTGATGGAATCAGACCTCGAGGCGTCTCCTGCAGCCGATCAAGCCTTGCCACAGATGACTCCAGCCATGCGACAAAACCTCTGAGCCATATGACAGGGGGCTGAAAGGCAGAATCCCCACCTTGTGTTGCATGCTGCACCCTTTCTCTGTATTTTTTGGCTATATATTCTGTGCTTAAGATGGTTCTTAAAAGCTAGGTAGAGAGTGACAGGGAGGTAGAATAGCCTGTGGCTACGCTTTCTGAGGTGGGACATGAAGTCAGCTGGCTCTGAGGTGCATCTGCAGAGCTTCCCCTCCTGGTGAACTCCACAGTGAGACCAAAATGGGTTTCCAAAACCCGTGTTTCCTTGGGAGAGAAGCCGGCAGCTCAGTTGCTGAAGGAAGCAGGCTGGGGTGCTTTCTTCTGCAAGAGAAACAAGAGCAGGGAATCCCAGCCGGTGGGGTGGCCAGTGGCTCAGTGCCTGCCCCGCTCTTGTTGCCACCTCCCCTGCTTGGAATCCTGCAGCAGTCCTAGGTATGGGAAGGAGCAGAGGGAAAAAGGAGCGCCTGGAACCACCTGCCTTCGCCACGGGGCTTGAGTTGACTCCAAAGCCAACGCGCAGCATTAGCCTCCCTCGTAAAAGAGAGATATCTGTTGTTTTCTCCTCGCGGTCGGGTTACTGAAGCCGCGCTGGAGCAGGTAGACAGCACGCACAGAAGTTCAACAGAAATACCAGAGCTTAACTCGAGGAAGCCTTTCTCATGTTTTAAGATAAAGCGCTCTTCCAGGAATGTATAGTGCATTAAGTAAAACAGATATAGATGTAATTTCATCTTACTGCTCAACCACATATTATAGAATGTAGTTCATGTACATTTAATGGCAGCAGCAAATCTATGTGCAGGAGATATCGGAATGTATCGTTAAATATCCTACAGCTTCGTGGTGAGATTTTTCGGAGGCAAGTGTCTGGCTAGAAACAGTTGCCTCACCAGCGTTTTTTGCAATATTTGTTGGATATGTGTGCGTATACACACATCCACATGTAACCTGTGTCAAAGAGACTCCTGAGCATGAGGGAGCATCTGCACCACATACGTAATCGGAACGTTTAGTCTAAGTGTGGATGCAATGACAGTGCTGCGAAGAAGAGGACCATTTTCAGGGGCTTTCACTGATGAATATTTTTGTTCACTTCGTGCCACATGATCCGTTTTTTATATTCATTTTCTATCTTTTTTAATTTTTAATCAGGTAAACTTTTAAAAGCTGAGTATATCCTAAGCAACCTTATTAATGACAATGGAGCAACAGGTACGTACGTATTTCTTTTCCAGTTCCATAGTTGCTATTTTGGTGGGATTTTTATACTAATTTTAAGTCACACAAGCTTCAAATACAGCCAATCCGACCTCAGTAATGACTCCGTACATCATGTTTCTCTTTTCTTCACCATTCTATGCTAAAATGTGGAAACTGCAACTTCGTTTTGAAATTTACATAATGCATCCTTCTTTGTCTTCACTTGGGTGAGAAAATATTCTGTATTGACAGCCTTCCTACTCATTTCTCTGCCCAGAGAATTTTAAAATGTGGACCAAATTCAAGCAATTGAATGATGTAGAACACTAAGACAAGTCCCGTCCCCCCCCCAAAAAAAATCCTCCATATCCACACTGATCCTATGAACGAAATGAATACTTTATTCTAGGCCTGTAGCAGACTGCAGTGCAATTATTTAATATCTTTTGCAGTAAAAGAAAGTGAGTCCTAGTTCTCACAGTACTTTCTTCTATGGCTGGATAGATGTGCAAAACTGTAAAAATGGGACCATTCCGTAACGCATGATGGTGTTTGTAGAAACTACTTTTTTACCCCCTTTCTCTGAAATGACTCCACTACTGGTTGTGCAGTTTATTTCAGATCTGGAGGGATGTGTGGTATTTCTAACGGTAGAAATTCATTAATTTTGACAGACATCCATAATTATTACGTATTTATGGTTTTGAGACAATATATTTTAGGGGTTTATATCTGTTCTCCATATTCTTAGCCTTCGGGGTCAATACATTCAGGTTTCTCTACAGCCACGAACCTTAGAAAATGGCTTAATGACAGCAGCATTTTTCATTCTCTGCTGAGCTTTTCCCACTCTTCCTGCAGGTACCTGGCGATATGCTAAGGAAAGCGATAGGATTCTCGTTCAGTCAGTCTGCTTACAAATCAGAGGACAGATTCTGCAAAAGCTTGGTAAGGTTTGGGGTTTTTTTATAAACATCTGGTCAAGGTTCCCCCCCCCTCCCCCTCCTTTTTTTTTTTTTTTTTCTGTGTAGTCAAGCTTTAAAATGGTACATTTGGCATATGTCAAGAGTTTTAGCTTGTGTAGAACACCTGCCTGATGCTCGTAACAGCCACAGAAGGTGAGTTGTGCATCCATCTCTGCAGCAAGGACCTAGAGCCATCTACCAAGTGAATACATTTGAGAAAGTGGCATTTTCTTATTAATCTTAACAGAAGTTGAGAAGCATTCTGAAATGTTGCTACCTTTTTCCCTGTGCAACTCCATGTTTGCTAACGCTTTTCCCTGTGCAACTCCATGTTTGCTAACGCTTTTCCCAAATTCGCTGTTCCCAAAGGCACGCCTCAGTATATCACAGGTATATCACAGCAATTTCCTCTCTCAAGACAAGAAAATCCCTCATTTTCAGCGTGCTGGGCTTCTGTATGCAGAGCATGGTACTTGAAGCCAAAAGCTTTATGCTTTTGATGTGACCTTTCATCTTGCATGACTGTTGAGCTGAGGTCTTTTATGAACACAAAATGTGTGGTTTTGCACAGCCAAAAGCTAAAGGAAACTAATAAAAGTTCAGTGTCACCAAAGCAAAAAATGCCATGGTCTAGTTTTATACTGTTTTGAGGGCTCCTGACTCAAGGAGGTGTAAAATAAACTATTGGAAGCCATCTCTAGCAGTAATCTGCTTAGTGACTATTTTTCTGATTCATTTCAGGGATGTGGTATGAAGCAGCAGAGTTGATTTGGGCTTCAGTTGTGGGATATTTCAAACTCCCTCAACCAGACAAAAAGGTAGTATTTCCTTTTCCCTCTGGATATCTTTGCCAACCTAATAATCATCACATTATCTTCTGTTTACTTCGGAAAAGTCTTTTAGCAATAACGTTTCAGTTATGCACCTCAGACGAGGTTAACATGCAGGACCAATATTGTAGCCCAAGTCTGTATTGCGCATTGTTTCCGCATGCATGCACAGACGTACGGACGCCTTTTTTCCTGCAGGGGAATTTAAGTAACAGTTTTTCATTAAGCAGAATCAGCTGAAGTGAACCATCACTGAGGATGGCACAGGTGCCTCTGACAAGGACAGAATGCAGCTACAGATTTTATTTATTTATCTATTTATTAGGACTGAGGCTACATTTCTTTTCCTGGTAACCGAGCATGTGTATTTGCTGGAGCGTTCACAATCTGCGCTACGCTCTCTGTTGCGGGTGACTGCTGTTCCCTGGTACTGCAGCATCTGGACACCTTGCAACAGCTACCGTATTTGTCTTTAACACCTTTGTGAGGCTTTGGCTGCACTAATCTTGAAGCAACAGCCGCACCATGTGTCCGTAGCTAAACAGGAATGTGAAGCTAAGCCTTGCAAGTCCTAGGGTGATGCTTTAGGAAGTATTGTAATTGTACCCCGGCATAGGATATCCCACAAAAACAGACCTTGTCACCTCTCCTCTGCCATACCTTAAAGCTTGACCTCAATCTCAGAACACTTCTCTGGGAGCAAAGACGCGTAGTAAATTTTGTGGAAGACATACAGGCGTTTCCTGGCGTTCTTAACTCTTTAGCTGGGCAGACCCTTAGCTAGCATGTATAAATCAAATCTTCCAGAGAGACAGACAATTAGCAAGTTCATAGAGGTATGTGTTACATGTTTGTGTCTTATTTTTTACTTGGTTCTGTAGAGCCAATTCCAAATTACAAAAAAAAAAAATAAAAGAAATTGAAGATTAAATTATTGGCACCAAGAACTCTTGACTTTTGTCCAACTCTGTTCATTTGCTTTTTAAACAGTGCAATAAGTTAGGGAAGCATATTAAAAAAGGTGCTTGTTTTATGGTATGCGTGGTGAGCATTTCTTATCTCTATCGTCTCTCTAGATATCTTCTTCCTGGATTTTTTAGGAAGACTGGGATCAACTGGCCAGTTCTTAAACATAACTTCTGGCTTTCTGTCGCCTTTTCTGAAAAACAACAGCAAAACCCATCGAGTCTGTTTTCGGATAGCATTAGCCAAGGGCTTCGTGCAGCTTTTGGTGATATCACGAGACTTCGTTTTCATTATCACAAACAGCACCTTGGGAAAATGCAATGCTAAGAAAAATGCAATGCTACTTAAGTTGAAACCTAGAGCTAGTGATAATCAGGATAGCTGCCACTTGTGAAAACTCATATGCATCCACCAGGCTACGCTTTCTGCAAGTGGAAATAAATAAAACCCTACCAAGATGAGATCTCCGAATTTCTTAGCAGTGCTTCTCTTTTTGGATCTTGTTTCGTTGGTTGGTTTGGTTTTTATCTGTTATGTTCTACACAGAACCTGCTTTATTGTGAGCAGTAAAACTGAAAATACAACGGGGAAAACACTGTCATAATTATCCATTTCTCTTTCAGGGAATTGCTACTTCCTTGGGTATTATGGCAGACATCTTTGCTTCCATGAATGAGAAGGATTATGTACGTTTTAAAACCAATGCTGAGATTGACCTGGTAAGACTTGGTTTGGTATTTGTGTGTGTAGATTCTTCAGATGGACTGTATGTTGTTGTCCCAAATTCACCCGCACTTTGTTCTTCCTCCTCTTCCTCTCCTGTGCTGAAAGGGCTGAAGAAACTTCGATTGCTCCTGTTATAAAAGTTCGTTAGAACCTCGCTGGAAGGATGCCTTGCTTCAGGAAAAAGAAAACGCTAGGAGTATTTGCAGAGCGTGTGTGTGTCTGTGTAATATATAGAATATTTGTAGAGTCAAATGTGACACGTTGGTGGTAAACCTGAGCAAAAAGGCTCCTGCAGGAACAGACCTGGCTGTCATTGTTTAAGATGCGAAGTCCCGCTCTATCAAGACTCGGAGGTCTTGGAGAGCTCAGGGAACCTGCACCATACAAGAAACAAATCCCAAACTGCCATGCTTCAGTATAACAGGATTGCTTACCAGGTAGACACATCTCTCTGAAAAGAAAGCCTTTAAGATGAGGTGTTCCCTCTTGTTTTTTTTCATTTCACTAGAGCCTTCTCGGAGAGTTCAGTCATCGCTTATTATCAGCCGCGGAGGCCTGCAAACTAGCGGCAGCCTATAGCCAGTACACCCCGCTGTTTGTCCTGACAGCCGTGGTGAGTATTAGTCTTCATTCTGAAAGTGCTATTTGTATAAGAGAAGAGTCCCGGCTATTAAATTTGGCTCTAATCCGGCTTTCAAACATTGCATCATACCGGGTATTGTGTCTGTGTCGTGGGTATGATGCTGTATGTTGCTCTGAACTCCAGTCAGGAGCTAAGCAGATGGGCAGAAAGCAGTATCTTCCACAGACTGAGGATGGGCTTTCAAGCCCATCTGGGAATGCCACTGCTTCTGTAATTACAGAGGTATTTCAAAGGAAAAAGAGCAAGATTATTTCCTCCAGGAAACAGCAGCAGACCGATATTTGCTTCAAATCATATAAGGGAAAGAAACACGTTTTTCCTCCCTTCGTTTATCTGTGCCAGAGGTCCAGGTTTTTAATTCCTTCATTCTTCTTTTATCTCCTCCCAGAATATCCGTGGGGTGTGTTTGCTGTCCTATAGTCACTCCAAGGACTGTCCCCCAGAAAAGAGAAAATTCTACTTGTCCGAAGCCAAAGAATCCTTTGAGATTGGCCTACTCACCAAGAATGATAACAGTCCCATCACCAGCAAGCAGGAGCTCCATAGTTTTATTAAAGCGGCTTTCTGCCTCGCAACCGTGCATCGGTGGCTCTATGGGGAGAGTGAGAAACTCCGTGAGGTGTGTCAACTATGTAAAGAAGCCGTGGGAAAACTGCATTCCTACAGCGCTTCATTTACAGAAGAGGAAGAGAAAGGAATGCTTGCCAAAGAGATCATGTCTCTGATCACATCTGTGAAGAAGCGCTTGCGAGTGGAAAGCTTTCCTAATTCCGATGCTAGGTCTTACGTTCCAGACAGTTATAAAGGCACAGTGGGAAAACCTATCCTGCGACGGGAAGTCAACTTTGAGAAAATCCTAGCCATGCATTCTCAGCATCATCTGTCAGTGTGCAAAGTGTTTGAAAATACTTGCAGGATTCATAAAACCGCACCAGGAGAAACCCAAGCGGGAGCTTGTATCACAACCTTAAGAACAGAGACCAAAAACATAGACAGTGTGTGTACTACTGAAGAAATAGCGTACCAGAGGAAAGGTGCTGCGAAAACCCTGCGTTCACCAACAGCAGGAAGTGGCTCAGAGAGACTCAGTGGCCAAAGAAATAAATATATCGGTTCTGATGTCAAGCAAATTTCCTTCAATGAAGAGATTGAGCCATTAGAAATAGAAAAAAGTTATGAAAACAGTGTTTTCAGCAGATGGCAAAAGAGGAGTCAAACCACGACGTCAGACAGCTCTTGGTGCAAGCTGTCAAAATCAAGTTACTCTTCCAGCTGGGAGGAGCTGAGCAGCAAAGAGTCTCCCAGGGATGGGCAGCGGCAGGAAAAGGGCTCAGCGGAGGAGCAGTGTTGCACAACAGAATCTGATGAAAATGGTCAAGCTGCATACTTGGGCTCGCCACCCCCCAGAGTCTGGCCGCCATCTCCTCGAGAGCCTCTGCAGAGCTGTGGGGCATCTCCACAGCCTTCCTTAGAGGTAGCTGGGAGGCTGGGAGAGAAGGCATCTCTTTGTGGAGAAGAGCTACGGGAGGGAAGACACTGTGGGAAGAGCTCTTCAGAAAGGAAAGCAGGGGAGGTGAACAACGAGGTTCCTTCCTTCTCCACCCCTTACTCTGTTCCTACCAGGTTGCAGGAGGTGGAGAAGTCCTCTTCCCGGGCGGAGCTGGGCTGCAGGACCAAGGACAGCGGCAGGGAGGGCGGTGGGCCCCGGAGCCCGTTCGTGTGGGTCCCCCGCGAAGGAGAGACTGCGGAGAGCACAGAGGACCCCTCGTTTGAGGCACGTCCCCCCACAAACAGAGGTGCTTCTGTACTATCAACGTGCGTCGAGCCAAAAATGGCCAGTGACTCCTCTCTGCGTGACTGGCTGAGGAAATCTGCCGTGGTGGGAAATGGATCTGTCAAAGTGCCTGAAGTTGACACTCAAGCAGAAACAGTAGATGACACTGAGTTTGATTTCATCAGTGTCGGAGACCTAGTAAACAGTTATCCTACGGCATCTGTTCCAGAGCATCAGTCAACTCCCATTGCATCAACAGCTTTGTCCTCAGGAGGAAAGATATCCATAACTGAGCACTTTGACTGTGCCACTACTGAAGAGGATGAAGAAAAGTCTCGGGATGTGGTGAGCAGCAAGAGACCATCCAGATCATCACTGAGTTCATGGTACAAAGCAGCACAGATGCTCGAGAGTTCCCCTGAAAGTCCATTTCTGAACCCAAGGGGAACTGGTTTAAACTTCGTACCTGGGAGAACGAAGGAAGGCATCCTTGACGCTCGATTTCTGAGGGATGATGATTACGTGCAGCTTCTGGCAGGGGTGGAACATAATTGGCTTGTCCAGAGACTGGCGCCTACTGGAATTTTTAAGTCTAAACAGCTTCGTAAAACGTACTGTAAGTTTCCACACAGCCATGGGCATTTTCACACAGCAACAGGTACTCCCACAGAGAACAATCTTTTCAGGCTCAGGCTTTTTAACACAATGTTTTAGTCATCATTTATTAGGACTTAATTTTCTGTTGTTTTATGAGTTTTTGTATAAGAATTTTAGCAATGGGAGAACACTCCCTCGAGCCATTTTCTCCTTTTCCTTCTTACCTGTTTGCACATCAGTCATGGCTTCACGTAAATGGGCTCCATCTCTGTGCCCACTTAGTCCCTCCTGCTTCAGTCCTTTCATGCAAGAGGTAACTTAGGCTGCTTGAACTCCCTGTGCCAGTTCATCAAGCCCTTTCTACCCCATTACTTGAGTCTCTGGTTTTGTCGCCCATTTAGATTCCACATTTCATCCCTGTAGAGTATTTAAGATAATGATTGTTAAATTAATCATAAGTGACAGCCATACCTTAATATGCAGACGCTTGATCAATATAGTAAGAAATAGAGAAGCTGGGAGCAACACTGCTGTAGGCTGCCTCATTGAACTCATTACGTAAAACCCACTTAGGGCTCATCTATCTTGCACGTCTCAAGCCGGTTTAGCAATTTTTTGTCCTTACGTAAAATATCCAACTCTGAACCTAGATACCTCTTAGCATATATTTTACAGCCCCATACATTGCTTTCAGAGGAGCTTGGGTATCTTCCGTCCTGGGTGCTGGTTACTTCATCCCTCAGCACAGGCTTAGAGCAGTCCTGTGGAATTGTCCATTCTACTTGTGGTGTTTTCTTTTTGTAGCTGCTCTTCTTTTGAAATACTCAAAGAAATCGGGCCTCTGGACAGGCCAGGAAACCGCTGTTTTCATTGGGGACTACCTGAACGTGGCAAAGGAAGGCAAACAGAGAAGTGCGTTTTGGGTACACTTCCTGCACCAAGAAGAAAGCCTGGGAAGGTATTGACCAAACCAATTTCTCAAACAAAATGTTTATCAATGCTACTTATGTGTAAATAGGAATGAAAACTGTCTGATACGATTAGTCTTACACCTATGATTGAGAGACAGGAGCTTTTATCAAGTATTTTCAGAAGACAGTTCAAGTCCTGTCCTAGGACTTGGCTGATCGGTACAGCATTTTATGCCTGTAAGAGCTATAAAAGAAAAAAAAACAACCACAACTTCTAATCACTGCCATTTTAAATGCATCACCAACAGCTGGCTTTGCTTCTGAACAGCCAAGCTCTGCTTTGTAGTGATGTTTTTGTATCACAGGCGGGGCTTCCCAAGTGCAGTCTGCTGCAAATCTGGCTATGCCAAAAACTTCTTTTTTTTGTTTGTTTAGGTACGTTGGGAAAGAATACAAAGAAGAAAAAGGACTACTTCATCATTTCAGTGACGTGGAACGGCAAATGACTGCGCAGTACTATGTGACAGAATTCAACAAAAGGCTGTATGAGCAAAAGGTCCCTACCCAAATCTTTTATATCCCGTCTGCAGTACTCCTGGTAAGAACTATCTTTTAAGCAATACAAAGGAATTGATGGGAAGAGTGTCTTAAATCAATTTTCATTTTAAAATACAAGCAGTTAAGCCACCTCTAGATGACACGCTGTCATTCGTGTGATCTTACCTGGTAGCTGCATTTGCTCATTTCAGGGCAGAAGACACCTACCTGCAGAGCTACAAGTTCATGGGTGAACTGGCAGAAAACATGCCACGTGCTGTTAGAAACTCATTTGTAAATGAAACCCAGGAGTTACCCAGCCTTTTATATCATCTAACAGTATATGAACATCTATTTTCAGGGGTAGTTATGAAAACTGAACTGCTAAGTGACCTGTTTTGAGCACCACAAAAATGTCTAAACCTCACTAGAACCCAGCAAGTGAGGTTCTTGCAGACAAGCGGGCTTGCTGCAGGACAGCTTTGAGGCCTTTTCTGTATGATGCTGAATCTCAGGAACCAGGACTGGAAAGGATCTCCTCATGACTCATCAGGTCCAGTGCCCTCATATCGCAGGCAACAACACTGCATAATCCCTTTTTTTTTTTTAACTCATTAAGCCCTATCTTAAAAGCAGCTGTGTTGTGTTTTGTGGTCTTAAATATTGATGATCAGAAGTGTACAGCGCTGCGTTCCCCTGAGACCCCTCCATGCCTTTCGCAGAGGCAACAGGAATCCTTACCCTTTGTCATGGCTGTATCACACTGGCAGCTCAGTCATCCTTCAAATGGCTATCACAGAAAGCTTTTTTTGTCAATAACAGTCCCTTAGCATAGAATAGGACACCTTTAAAGCACAGACACCTTTAAACCACAATTAACTTCTTGACACAACCTCACCGCTGATCCAGTGCCCTACAGGCTGTTCCTTTTCCGCTTGTCCCTGATGGCACGACCAGTATCTCTCCGCCTGTGTGAGCCATGCTCAGTCATGAGAAGGAAATGCTTGTTGCCTTCCCTGCAGCTCAGCGTACGTGGACGGGTGAAGAAAGGCTGGTGGAATTGGCAGGGCCGTGAGCTTCAGCAAGGCCGGGGATCTGTTACGCGGATCCGTCACCTCTCGCCAAGGAGCATTTCTGTCCCTCCATCCCAAAGGTCCAGCCTCAGAGATGGGCTGCTGAGAGCCACAAGAATCAAGTGGCTGAGAGCTGGCTGGGATGTGGAGTTATCTGAGAGAGCCCGGGAAGAAGGGGCAGCAAAGTCACAAGAATTTCTCTTGAGTGGGTTGAAGAAAGAAGGAGCTTGAAGCTAAACATTTCAAGAAAAAGCACTTTGAGGTTATTCTCTGTAAACAACAAAAAACAGCTGCTAAAATTCCCAGCGCTCAACCAAAGCAACAGCCACTTTTGATTGTGGGAGATGCTTGTTTTCCCACTCAGTTCTGAACACGTGGAGTTCGAGGAGGCTGCATTAGACATGCCCTCAAGTCTTAACGCACAGATCATACTGGCTGTATGCATTTCAGGTAACTGTAGCCGGGACAGCTCTTGCTTCTGCCCTCTTCCCTTCTGCACGATGGTTGTGAGGACAGCGTGCAAAGCTGTGAGGCAAATGGCCCTGCTGTGCCAGCACCCAGCCTGATGGTTAGAGGCAGGAGCCACATCTGGATCACCTGGCACAGAGGTTAAAGCTGACATCCAGCCCCTGGCGGGAAAGGAAAGGATCTGTTCTTTATTCTTAGGGTTAACTTTCCATTTGACTTCCGTTTCAAATATGGAGAGTTACCCTCCACAGCGGAGCGCTGAACTCGCTGTTTCGTTATAAGGTATATGATAGCATGCTGCGCCTATTACTGTTTCTGTTAGCCATTCTGGCACTAGGTCTGGCTCTATGCCACTCGCTAATAAGGCCTAATGAGAGCCTGGCATCAGTACTTACAAGTCTCTGAATATAGAAATGAATAATATAAAAAAAAAAAACCCAAAACCTAAACCCTACCATTGGTTAGTTACATGCTGGAGAAGGACCAGGTGCAGGTTTATCCAAATCTTTTCAGCTTTCTCACTCTTTAGACATAGTCTTCTGAAAGAAGTTTCCTGTTTGCTGGATGAACTGGGTATTTCTAGAACTCGTTGCTCACAGAGTTTGCCCTGTCAGGCTGACTTTGTGTTGGATCTTGTACCACCCTTTGTTCTAGTTAAGTGTGGGCGCTTCATCTAAACAGCCTGTGTTTTGCATCAGCAGTGGGTTAACATGAAGACCCTTCCCATCCCTCTTGAGATGGAAAGTTCTCGGAGGAAAAAACAAGACTTGAGTTAGAGATGCTGTAGCATCTTTATTTTCACATCTCTGTCTGCATGACTGTCACTGACACTCTCTTTTCAGATACTGGAGGACAGAACTATAAAAGGGTGTGTGAGCGTGGAGCCCTACATCCTTGGGGAGTTCGTGAAGCTGTCCAATAACACGAAGGTAGTGAAGAACGAGTACAAAGCCACAGAGTATGGTCTGGCCTACGGCCATTTCTCCTACGAGTTCTCCAATGGAACAGATGTTGTCGTTGATCTGCAAGGTTTGTATTATAGCGAACTTAATTTCTTGCATGTCCTCCCCTGTTGCAGCATATGCTATATAAAGGATGAACCGTCTCGAAATGATGTTAAGTGAGGGAGGTATGTGCAGGTATGTTTTTGCCTCAAGCAGTGCTCTTGTTGTCCGCTGCATCACAGCAAGAGCATGTGAGCCGCGTGCTCCCGAGCGTGCCACAGCTTCACGCCGTGGAGTGATCTGCATCCAGTTAGACTAAAGCCAGTCGGCAAGGAACCATCTGAAGGAGAACCACTAAAAGCAGCAGCAGGGTTTTGTCACGCTTCTTCCTTGCTAAAATTGGCAAGCCTTAAAAAAGCTCCCCTATTCAGCTAACGGAGAATTGAGCTCTTTTGTGAAGAGCCAAGGATAAAACCTTTCAGACTAGACCTTTAGCAGGCAGGTATCTTTGGGATATTCGTTTCATTACATATTTGTTATGTACCTCTTAGGGTTCTGCTTCTGCTGACATAGATACAAACTGGGAATCACTGAGGTGACATTAAGAGAGAGTGGACTGTGCCAAGCGGGCAGTCCTGAGTACGCTAATACAAAGGCTGCGATGTTCGATACCTGGATGTATCCTTCTTCCACAGGTTGGGTGACAGGTAACGGGAAAGGCCTCATCTACCTCACAGACCCCCAGATTCATTCCCTTAATAGCAAAGATGTTTCACGCTCCAACTTCGGAAAGAAAGGAATTTATTACTTCTTTAATAATCAACACGTGGAGTGCAATGAAATCTGTCGCTGCCTTTCTTTAACAAGACCTTCAGTAGAGCTTCCAATGTAGACTCGCCCAAGGCAGTTGCACAAAGAATGACCCGTAAGATGGACTGGACTTTATCCTACACACTTTTAGGAGCATATGACCTTTGTGAGAACAGAGCCACTGAGACGAAACCCGTCTGAGTCAGGTCAGTCATTATTTACACGAGTTTGGCAAGTTCTGGCTTTTGCATCCGGGCTGATAATACCATCTTATCATCTTGCGTCCCATCTGAACCTCATGTCGTTATAGCCATCTGTAAGAATTAACAGAAGAACATAAGGAGAGTAAGAAAACAGCCTCCCGAATTCAGCGAGAGGTGTACTACCAGGCTGTAGTACACCTTCTAATCCATTCAGACCCAATAAGGGCAATAGGCACAACCTGCTCTTTGGAAATGGAATATGAGATGGAGTGAGACAGAAGCAGAGAGTTGTATTTCAACCATCTGTAAAATTTTCAAAAACTTGTATAAATGCTTCAGGGAACAAATTGTAATGGTTTTGTTTGCTTCAAAAATAACAAAGTTTCTTTCAGAGGTGTGTATGTATATGTGCCTGTGTGACCACACAACATCTGAGTGGGTGGAAGTAGGTTTTAACTGGAACGTCATGAAAACTGCTGCTCTGCAAAGGAAAAAGTAGTGTTCTTGAACCAAGAGATGCTTTGCATGAATAATTTAGGACTGCTACATTTAACAAACTCTCAGAAGACTTTCCCAAGAGAAGAACAGTTCTCACTTAAGGACAGCACAACTCTTCTGCCTGTACTGAAACTGTGAGCACCACAGATTTGGTGACCGCTTCTTTAACTAGTTCCTACAAATCTCACTGGACATCAGTGTGGCTGCATGTACGAAGGAGCAGTTCTGGGGGGGGTCCAGCATCTAATTAGCACATAGTAAGCAGCCTCAGCACCAGTTTAGGTTCCAACTAGGCCCGCAAAGCACTCCCTCCCCTCGAGCCTCATGGAGCTGGGAGGTGGAAGGTGTTCAGGAAGGAGCGGTGCCTTTCTCGGCCAAGTCCCTGACAGCAGCAGACAGAAGGAGACTTCCAATTTGCTGCCAGTGGCAAGGTCGACGCGTCCCGTGGGTTGTACCTCAGTGCTGGTGGAGATGCAGCCTGCAGAGCTTCCAGCTGGCTGCTCTTCTGGCACATCCCAGAAAATACACTTACGAAAGTAACACAGATGTCTAATAATACTTAAGTGATATATTTACACACTGCCCACATGGAGACCCTGATCCTGCCACCCCACTCATACAGCCAGACACTAAATTTGTGCCTACACGATGGGGTGTAGGGGGGAACGATGGTTCTGCCTGTGCTGGGAATGTGCTTTGCTGTCACACATGCGAGCAGGTGTGACTTTGTCCTTTAACTCCAACATTTTAGCTGTATTTTTGTTACTGTTTGTGGTTGTTATCGAGCATACTCGGAGAGCTCCTGATTTTTTGCACCAGGATTGAACAGCCCCTGGCGTGTAAGCTGGCCACATGCTTCAGTACTGCCTGCCTGGGTTAGAGCAGCTGCAGCCTTTTACTTTTTATGAAACAACCTTTTGTGGGTTTTTTTGTTGTTGTTGTTTCGTGGTTTTGGGGTTTGTTTGGTTTTTTTTTTTTTTTAAACTAAAGCTTGTAATTCATTCGTGTGACCTCCTTTGACACCTACAGCAATTCACATACTGATAACCACTCACCTACCTCCAAGAGAGCCAACGCGTAGAGTTACTCTGTCACAGTAAATTTCAGAAGTGCATAGGAGAAAGCGCTGCCCTTCCAACTTTGTGGATTCTAGCTGAACAGCTGAAGTCTTGGGGTTTTTTTCCCGCACAGGCTGGTTAGTTGAAAAGAGTCAAACCTGCTGGCATGGTCAGATAATGTATACATACGCTGTAGAGAAAACAGCCATAAAAAAGAGGGGATGGGAGCTCCTAGCACAAAAAGCTGCGCCCCTTCAATGCTGAATTAAGCCAACTGGAGTGTCTGGTTCAAACAAAAACCCACAGAACTGTTGGCAATATTACCCAGATTCAGACCATGATGAAAGAAGCATTTTCAAATCAAATAGGCCGAGTAATACGTTTTGTCCTAAAACCAAAAATCCACGGTTCACTTTGCATCTGCTTCGGGCAGGCTTTTAATGAGTTACCTGGCCAGGATGAGTGGGCTTCCACCTTCATTTCCAGTGGGTGATTAACCTTAACGTGCCTACAGGAGGATGCTTGTTTCGGCCTCTGTCAGGGATGCATTGCAGATTTTGATTAAAAGTGGAGGACATATCTTTGCATCTACAGGTTGCAGCTGTTTTTCTATTCCACAGAAGAAGGAAAGTGATCTTATATTCTTCCAGCACATCTTTCCTGGTGTTACGAGCCTAACCGGCAGGCAAAAAAGCTACTTCTGGGGAAATTCAAGCAACAGTTACACGTATTCCCCTTAACAGTGCCAAATACGACTGGAATAACGCACAGGACTAGAAGCTAACATTTGTTGCTGCCTCTCCAGCCAATGAAACGATGTTAAGACCTACATTTTCCTCTTCCCAGCCCACGCCAGCACCTCTAGGATATCAGTGTGGGCACTCTCTCCATCAGCAGAGAAAAGCTGCCTTCATTTCATATTCTGTTCTTCTCCTCCAAATCCCTGATGTCCCACTGCCCCCAAGCTCCAAGGCTGGGATGGTTTCCTGATGAGAAAAGGAATGCAGCATCAAACTTCCACAAAAAGATGGGTCCCCAGCGGAGAGCTGGCTTTAACAAAACAGTCCGCTTTTGTTTCTGCAGCGATTTTTAGGCTTTTGTTCCTGCTTTTTAGCAATGCTATTGTTTTCTAGGTGATGTTTGTGTCGAGTTGTTTGGAAAGATGCCCTATCGCTGCACTGACCGATTAGAACTAGGTGTAAAGAGGGAGAAGCAAGAGAAGAAGAAGAAGAAAAAAAAATTAAATCTCTTTATTATGGTGCATAAACCTTCAGTGTTGGGGAGCTGGGCAGCTGCGCAGGAAGAAAAATGCATTCAAAAATATAATGCTAGTGTGAATAATCCTTTCTCGAATGCTGCTTGCAGACTGCTTCAGCTTTGTCAGGTGAACTTGAACTGGGCCATCAGATTTGCTGCCATTCCCATTGCACACTGTCTGTCACCCCCGGGGCATTCACCATCTTGACTGTTGTTAAAAGCGAGCAAACAATCCATCATTGAGCCGGGGAGTCACTCGCTCATAGAAAAGTAAAATCGGCATGTGACGGTACACTCGGCCCCAGCGTTTCGCAGATTAAAGTGATACATGAAAACTCACGTGTTACTGGGAAGATTAAGTCCGTTATCTTGTTCTGCAGCCAATAAAGGGCGGCCTTGTCTGCAGCAGTAGGGAAATGCTGGCTTTAACCAAGTGACAAGCGCTGCGCATACATAGCTTCGTGCTCCGGCAAAAGAGAGCGCCGAGCTCTGAAGAGGAAACAAAGCTAGTTAGCAAGATCTCGGGAATTAATAGGCAGCAGAGATGCTGTGTTAAAGCCTCTCGGCAGAGGCTTTCCCTTCTCTATAGAGACAATTAAAAGCAAAACAAAACCTCCCAGACAATCTCCGCAGAACAAAGTGGCCTAATGCGCTGCCGGCAGCCAGCCCCGCGACGTCTGCTGTAACAGCACATGCAGTTTCGAGACCCCTGAAAAGTAACGCCTTTTCCAGCTTATGCCTCTTGTTTAAAGAAAGAAAAAAAGAAAAAGTGTTTAGATATGCTCCTGAATTAAATCAATCTGTGGGAAATTTTAATATTTTGATTTCTTCCTCATATTTGCATTTAGCAGCTGATTTCTTTTGTTGGTTTGCAGCGTACATTTCCCTGTCTCAGCCAAAGTTACGGCTACTCATTGGTAAAAGTTGGTATCGAGTATCAGCTTGTCTAGTCCCCTGTTAAAACAGACATCATTGTCTTTAACTCCGTAGCTTCTCCTGGTGTTACTCTTTACCTGCTTGGGCACAAATTCTGAGGTATCAGTCTTTCACAAATGCGGGGACTCTGTCTTCATCCAGGGCTTGGATACGGGAAATCCTGCATTAAGGTGCTCTATAACCTCATCGCCTGAAGAACTTAGACAAAGGCATGGCTCAAAACACACAGAAATTATCGGTTCATATTTGTGGTGTAAAGAAGTGATTATTGGGGGAAATAAACAGTTGACTCAAACCGGTGATGCAGCATTTAATATTTTGGCTGGAAGTTTCATCTTACAGCTGCTGACCCAAAAAATTGTTGTTCTGCTATTTCCTCTGGTTTCAGAAGAAAGTCGTTTGAACCAACCAAGACTTAGGGAGTACTTTTTCTTTTTTTGAGAAATGTAGTGGTTTATGTTAAATAACTTGCTACCGATGGTGCTTTTTGGGCTTGGTTAATTATAACACACTCCAAAGTCCAACGTAAGAGCTCAGTGTGACTACTAAAAGCCCACCATCCTGTGGTCTCTACAAAATGAGCAAAACTGGGTTGTGCTGGTGCAGTGAAATATTATCATTGACTGGAGGGACAGAAACTCTGAAGAAACATCTCCTCCTCTCGGCTAAAGCAGCCAACTCAAGGACTTGAGTTTACACCCAGCGTATGCGCTGCTGTAAGTCAGGCGCAAAAATGTCCCGCTCTGGACAAGGTGATGACACGCTGTCCTGTCCTTCAGGGAAGATATTTGGTTAAAGAAGATTTTTCCCTCCTGTACCTTTCTGCGGATATCCAGGTGAAAGGCAGAGCTCTCGTTTGCTGCGTTGTCCTGCACTCGTGCGTATAAATTGATAAATTTGCTACTGCGAGGGAAGGAGTTGATGCAACGGCAGGCAGAACGATTTTCTCACTCTTTTGCCAACACTTAACGAAGCGCTTTGGGGAACTTCTCTTACAAAAGACGCAGCGTGAAAGGGAAGACCCTCGGTTATTCCGACAATACGAGGCTGAGCCAGGCTTGCCTCCCTCCCTCTCCCTCCCAGCCCAGGCGGCAGCATCCTGGGCCATTAAGGCCAGTGGCGAGCGGGCG